ATTTCCAAAATATCTTTCATTTGCTTAATGTATTATAATGGTTGTAGAATTAACAATGATCAAGGTTATATTTTTACAAGTGACACAAAAACAATCCAAGTAAATCGTAGATTGGATTTTGAATCTTTAAAAAAAAAATGCATGCCAAGTTGAACTTGCATCATAACTAAATTGTTTCTAGTATCAGTTGAGATATTTACATTCTCTTAATCCCATTTTTTATCTAGCTGGAGAAATTGCTGACAATGAAGATGTGTGCATGCTTGATAGTTTTGAACGACAATGTCATATGACTATGGTAGAATTATATATTGATGTTGATATTGTTGGTACATCTTCTTTTATCTTTACAAGATTTAACTACAACAGAAGAAGCACATCAACCCCCGATTTTAACACATTCAAATGTAATGAGTAGTCACCATCAGTTTGAGCAAATAATTTCGCCACCAACAAATCATCATGATTCAAATGTTGATTTTGCAATAAACTTAAGTGATGATGATGATATCAATGTCGATCAAGATGATGAAATTGAAAATGATATCTCATTAGATGAAGATAACATTGATAGCAATGATAATTGTATGATAGACGTACAATCACCATTTGAAGTTGAGCCTCTCAAAATGAACGAAATAGGTAATTACAAATTTTTTTCTACCACCATTATAATTTTGTAATATTTATTATTCATCTTGTGTCTCTTGCCACCATGTAGGTCCATCACAACCTCCACTTTGGAGCAATACTCCACATTATAGTTACATCGATTGGTCTCATCCAAATCAAGAGATGCGGTATGGTGGGTTAGATGTTCCCAATTCTTGGCACTTGAGGATGAGTTATATGTTAGGGCTACGTTTTCATATAAAAGTTGATGTCCAAATGGCCATTAAACACTACTCTATGAATGCTCACCAAACATTTGTAGTTGTTGAGTCTAGATTAAAGATTTTGTCTGTAAGATGTCCTAATAGAAATGAAGGTTGCCCTTGGAAACTAAGGGCTATTGTGTCCACTAAGTTGAAGAAAAAGTGGGTCATAAAGAAAAAGGGTGGTCGACACACATGCATTAATGTAATGTTGTCTCAAGATAACAAAAAATTGGACTCTGAATTCATTTACTCTTGCATATTAGGTAACTTTATCTATACATACTCTTTCAAATATTTTTAAAAAAGGTTATTTTCCTAATAACTGTTAATTTTATGCTTAACATTTCGTTTCAAGAATAGTGAAGGAAGATGCTTCCGTGTCAATTTCGTTAATTCAATAAAGAATAAGTGGCCAATTTAATTATAAGGTTTCGTATAGAAAGGTGTGGAAAACAAAACAAAAAACCATTTCAAGAGATTTTGGTGATTGGAAAGATTCATACGACCTTTGGTCAAGGTGGTTGAATATGATGCTAGAATGTTGTCTTGGGTCTATTTATAGACTTGAGACAACATATTATGTGTCCAATAATGTTGTTGACGCATGTTTTCGAAAGTTTCATCGTGTGTTTTGGACATTCAAACTTGTTTGTGATGCATTCAATTACACAAAACTCATCACACAAATTGATGGAACATTTTTATATGAGAAATATTGCGGCACTCTACTAATTACTACAAAACAAGATGACAATGCTCGCATTTTACCAATTGCTTTTCTTGTAGTTGAAGGTGAAACATTGGGTGATTGGTCATGATTCCTGTCCAACAATTGTTGATCTGTAACTACAAAGAAAGACATTCTTTTAATATCAAATCGACACCAAAGCATCAAATCAGTCATGGAAAATCAAAATAATGATTGGTAACCACCTTATGGCTATCATATTTATTGTATTCGTCACATTACAAGCAATTTTAACCATTGGTTTAAAAATGTCAAACTCAAAGAAGAGTTGATTCACATGGGTATAACATTATTTTCTTCTTATATTTTATGTTTTTCGAACTATATAATATGTTATCCTATTAACTTTTTTTTGTCATAGAGTTTGGACATACAACTTGCAAACATAACTATTTTGAGAGGCTTGAACGATTTCGTGAGATTAGCCCAAAAATTCGTCGATGGATTGATGGGATTTTGCTAGAAAAATGGAGTCTCGGCTATAATGACGAAGGTTGCAGATACAGTTACATGACCACAAACTTGTCTGAGATTGTCAACAAGATCTTAAAAGGTGCTCGTAATCCGCCAATAACAACTCTTATAAAATGTACATATGCTAGGTTAGTTGAGTATTTTTTTGCAAATGTTAGGTCAAGCAAACATAGAGCTTGCAGTTGGTCAACGATATTGTCAAAAGTTAATGGATGCTATACAGAACAACCAATAGAAAATAACATTTCATTTCGTTCAAAGATATGACTATGAGGCCACCAGATTTGAAGTGGAAGAAACTTTCAATTCAGTTACACAAAGAGGTGGTCACACTTGGACAATAATTCTTAATGAACGAAAATGTGAGTGTGGTTCTTTCCAAGCTTACAAATATCCATGTTCATATACCACTGCCGCATGTACTTATATTCGCATAGATCCATTGAATTATGTTAATGCTGCCTACTCAAATGCATATATCAAAGGCCAATGGTACCTACTTGATAGTGATGACAACATTCATCCTACTGACGAACCTCGCATTGTCCCTAACCAAACTATGTTGTGTGCTAATGGCCGTCCAAAATTAATCCATATAGGACATAAAATGGATTAGACAAATTCACAACGAAGATAATGTTGTGGACATTGTAGGGTTGAAGGTCATAATAGAACAAATTGTCCTCAACTAGCATTAAATATCATTGATGACCTTAATTATTAATGTGTTTATAGAGTTTAGGTCATGTAATATTCAGTCATGTGTAAGTTTTATATATTTTTCAAACACACATGTTATAATATGAAATAATGAATAATATGAAATATAAATTATAGTTCATTACATAATTCAAAGTACTAAAAACAACAAAAATAAAACAGATACAAATGAATAATCTCTTAGGCCTTCATTGTGGATCTGTCGGATCATGAGGTGATAAAATACATTGATGTCCACGATGCCTACCACCCCAATCTGGATTCCTTCTTATAGGGTCCTCATTTTCTATAACTTTTGTTGATTGCTCGCTTGCAAAGGCTTGGTTTAGGTCATACCCTAAAGCTGCCTATCTCAAATAAGTACCTCCAAAAGCAGGCTGTTCAAAAGAAGTACTTGCAAAAGAAGTAGATCTAAAATAAGTACCCTGCATATGATCTCTGCCATATCTAAATGGATAATATGGTGCAGACGGAGTCATCATGTTCCCCATATAAGCATCTGGTGTGTGTCTTGGTGGAGAAGGTATATATGTAGTAGATGGTGGTAAATATGTATCAAACAGAGATGAAACGTAAGCAGTAGAAGTATGACTATCAATAATAGTATCACACTATCACCTAAAGTATATACCTACTGACTATAACCCTCGAATGGTGTCATTCGATAAGCATAATAACTACCCAAAGGGGGGGTCATGTGATGGAACATATATATCTACAGGCTGGTGATCTATACGCTTGCGTCGACATCTAAGGCCACGACCTTTTCGTCGGCCCGCACCAATATCTTCCATAACAACAGGTTCAGGCTCGTCTTACGATGGTGCTAGTGCACATGTATAAGGATATTGAAGTTGGTGAAATTCATTATATATCTCTAAGTAGTTAGCAATATTATCAGTCAATTCTTCCATTGAAAAATTGCTTCTAGGTTATGTTTTGGTCTTATGATACATTTCCTTAATAGTGTCCTCTTGTAAATAAAATTTTTGTTAATTTTACATGTTCAACTTAATATTAAAAACACTAAATCAATTACTTATAAAACATTTATTGTTATATATGACTTACCACATAACCTTATTTTACAGTAATGTGCGCAATCCAATGTCTAGTATGTCTTTTATACCACACCATATGTACTCTAAATTACTACTTAAACGTGCAGTAGTACAAGCTTCTTGTATCCAAATATGGTCTAACCTTGTTTCCCACTCATGTACAAATTAAGATAGCATGCTGAACTCACCAATCAATATCATCTTTGCCATGTAAAGTTAGATCGTGCAAATTATCTGACGGGCGTGGAGGACAGGGAATCTGTTGTATCATGCCAAACTATAGTGCATCACACGGTCATGATGGTGATACTCAATAATATGAAAGTCTATCAATGGAACTACTGCCTTCTAAATATTTGTGTTTTCTACACAATATGGTGATAGAGAATGAAAATATTGAAGGTATGACTATTAAACAAACTGTACACAAAAAACACAAAAAGTCATAAATGAATAGTAATTTCAAGATGTCTGCTTGAAAATTATAATCAACACAAACTCTCAACGTAAATCTTTATCTTTCTGCCCTCGTGCACTTCTCTCATCACGTAATCGGCCTCGGAGGTGTTTAGACACTTAAGCAATGGGGTAGAGAAGCCACGTTTGTACAGCTGATCGGCGATGACAACGTATCTGCTGGCTTGTGTTCTCAACCGTTTGGCTTCAGCCGGCTCGGCTGGTGTGATTCCGTTGGTGAGAAATGCTTTGATTTCATCTCGCCAGTTTGGAGGGTCATTAATTTTGGCACGGTCGGCCTCGACGTTTGCGACTGTTTCTGTCTCGACACTTGGGCGGTCAATCTCCTGTTGAATGATGGTTCTTAAATGGCCCGGCCTCTTGGTTGCGGCCAAAATCTTTGAACATACTTGGCCAAAAGTATCCTTTTCTAGACAGAGTCCATTTCATTTTCTCCCCCGCTTGATGAGCACCACAAATCCCTTCATGCACCTCTGCCATGGCTATGTAGCTCTCATGATTTCCTAGGCACTTAAACAGAACTCCATCGAAGCCTCTCTTGAATAGTTCATCATTCAATATCACATAATTGAGAGCTCGATATTTAACTTTTCTTTCAGCTTGCGAATTTGGACTTTGCAGATACTCAATTAACTCTTTCCTCTAGTCCTGAATGGTTGAGGTGTCTATGGTGAGGCATTCGTGCTCGTCACTCAACTCATTCCTTATACAAACAAGAGATTCGAGACATTCCCTGCTTAGCTTGTACCCAGATGCAATCTGAGTTAGTTCATTCGCAATTTCGTTCTCGTTACGAGAGATATGTTCTAATTGGACCTCATCGAATGAATTTAACAAAGCTGTAGCTCTAGATTTGCATTCGAGTAACTTTTCATTCATACATTTATATTCTCGAGTTAACTGTTTAATCACGAGTTGCGAGTCACCTCGAATGATTATGTTCCTTGCCCCCAAGTCCTTAAGCAATTTTAGCCCAGTAATCACTGCTTCGTATTCAGTTTCATTATTTGAGCATTCGGATTTCGTTCTCAATGAGAATTTGGTGGGGATCCCACCCGGGGAAATAATCAGTAATCTGATTCCTGCTCTTAACTCGTGTTTCGATCCATCAAAATATAGTTCCCATGATTTCGTGGTTAAATAATTAACCTGTTCAGTTACATTCGAGTGATCCACGAGAAAATCAGCAATTACTTGTCCTTTTGTGGCTTTGAGGGGAACAAACGTTAACGAATACTCGGTCAATGCCAGAGCCCATTTCTCAACTCGAGAGTGCAGGATAGGTTTAGATAACATATATTTAATCATATTATTTCGACAGAATACGAATACATCATAAGGTTTAATATAATGCTTCAGCTTTGTACAAGCATAATACAAACTCAGACATAACTTCTCCAAAGGAGTGTATCTGATTTCTGCCTCGACCATCATCCTACTGATGTAATAAATGGCCCTTTCGATGTCATTTTCGTCATCTTGCGACAGCATGCCCGCAATAGTCGAATCATTGGCCGAAACATACAATTTTAACTTTCATCCTTCAGAGGGTGGCACCATCACTGAAGGGTTGATCAAATAATTTTGATCTCCTCGAATGCCTTTTGATGATTTTCGTCCCATTGAAATTCTTCCTCCTTTTTCAATCGTAACAAAGGGGAAAACACCTTAGTCTTTCCTGATAAGTTCGAAATAAATCTTCGAAGGAAATTTATCTTACCTAACAAAGACTGTAACTCCTTCTTATTTGAAGGAGGCTTAGTTTCCATGATTGCCCGAGTCTTGTTCTTATCTATTTAATGCCTTTCTGGTGTACGACGAACCCTAGGAAATCCCCCGCTGAAACACCAAAAGCACATTTCAATGGATTCATTTTTAGCCCATGTTTCCTCATTCTCTCGAAAGACAATTTCAGGTGTTGTATGTGATCTACTTTTCGTTTCGATCTAATCACTATGTCATCAATATAAGCCTGCGACGACATCAATCATTGTTTCTGCAATAGGCATTGGATATGCATCCTTAGATAATAATAGTAACCATTTTGGAAAACTGGGGTGTTACATTCATCTTATTTAACACATCGCGAATCTGAACAAAAGTTCTTTGTGTCACCTACAAGGCACTATTCTACCTAAAAATATGAAAAAATCAACAAATTAATTAAAAGTATTTGTCTAATGTTAAATCTAATATTTAATAAGGTAATTTAATTTAAAATATTAGCTTGCACCTAAAGGAATGCCAAAAGTATTTTTAGTGGTGCAGTAAAATACATGTCCCACTAATTTCTTTATTGTTATAATTAGTGGCAATGCACAGTTCTCTATATAAATGAGCAAGCAAGGCTGATCTCCAACTAAGGTGACCACATTGGTCTAAATCTGTTAACATGACCAAATATCGCATTGATACTAGAGTTGAAGACTTGTCAAAAAAGTATACCTCCAAGCAACCGCAAAATATAAACTCAAGCATATCATTCCATTTGTTGCACGTTGTGCACATGGATGGAAACATAAAAAAAAATGTTTATCAACCCAACTCATCTTCATCCTTCCACCTTTAATTGCATTTGTTGGTGGTGTTATTCCAAACAAAGCTTTGAAAAGTGTGACCCATTTATATGTCGAACAACTAGTAATTGGGTCTCCATGTACCTTTAGACCAAACAAAACTGAAACATCTTCCAATGTAATTGTACACTCTCCAAATGTCATGTGGAAAGTGTGTGTTTCTGGTCTCCACCGCACAAATAATGCTAAAATTAATTGGTGGTCAATAGGAAAGTATGACATTTCTACCACTTCCAACATTCCTGCGTGTGCTAGATAAGGTCTTACTTCATTAGGAATTGACCCAACTTGATGACCGCTTTTGGTAGCTATTTTAATACAAAGAACTCTATCAGGCTCACAATTCCACATGTGCTTAAAGACGTGAATTGATTGCATAGTCAACAAAGAATCATCAATGGGTCCTGAATTAACTCTTTGACGAGATATTATGAAATTATACAAAATCAAGAAATGCATGCATAAAATTAAAATAATAAATATTTAAGCCCCTAAATAATGAATAATCAATTAAATCCTAAAAAAAATTATCTTATACTACTACATCAAAATTATATAATTAAAACCACATAAACAAAAAAAATTAAACTTAATTTTAATTTACTAAAAAAGTTAATTTTATTTAATTTAAATTTTATAACACAAAACAAAATTACTTCTGTTTCTAAAAACTTAAAAAAAATCTAAACTCCTTCAAATTTTAATCATCAACAATATCAACAAATATTTCATGTAAACAAATTTATAACCTAAAATTATAAATGCAAAAAACAAAATATTGTTATTATACATAAAAAATTACAATTAAACATAAATTAATTTAAACCCTAACCAAAATAATCTTATACTACTAAATAAAAATTATATAACTAAAACCATCAAAACAAAAATTTTAACACTTCATAAATTATTTTCACATATACTAAATTTTATATTTTTCATATATAAAATTTGATAACTTAAAAATTACAAAATATACATGAAAATAACAAAATATAATTCTTTTAAAACTTAACAAAACTTACATATTTAAACTTCAATTTAATTAACAAAAAATTTATTCTCATATAAATAAAATTTTTTTAACACAAAACTATAACTACTCATCTTCTCAACCTCAACATCAAAATCAAAATTAAAACCCTAAACCACAATTATTCATTCTTCTATTTCTAAATACTTAAAAAAAATCTAAACTCCTATAAATTTTAACCATCAATAATATCAACAAATATTTAACAAATCTATAACCTAAAAATATAAATGCAAACAATAAATATTATTATTAAAAAAATAACATTTAAACAAAAAAAAAAAAAAATTTAACCCTAACCAAAATAATCTTATACTACTATATCAAAACTATATATTTAAAACCATAGAAATACAAATTTTATTACTTCACCCTAAATCCTAATTTTTTTTTCACATACTAAATTTTAATCATAAAGAAATTTTCCACAAATATTATTTTAAACCTAAAAATAAATATGAACAAGTCATACTATAATTATTTTAAAATATTAAAAAAATTAAAATTACTTCTTCTCTTTCTCTTTCTTTACTCTTCTTTCTTTTTCTTCTTCACTCTTCACTCGGAGCTCAACACGTCTCTCTCCCTCAGGCTCAACCTCACCTTATAATGGGTTATGCTTCGGGAAGCAGCACTGGGAGGTGCAATGAATGGTCTCCTCTGCATGGTCTTGGCTTGCTCCTTTGCATGCTTAACTACATTGCATGCACAACTTGCATGAGCAAAGCTGCTCCTCTACATGTTGAATGGACTCGATCAAGGCACAAGGTGTCAACCAGGCTAGCATTTTTTACCTTCAACAAAAGGCATCATCCATGCTGACGTTTTCTTCTTCATTTTTTGCTCCCCTGCTCGTTAATGGGATACATGAAGGAAACGTCAATGCACTTGACGTTTTCTGCTTCTAGTACCACAAGCATGTAAGCAGCAAGCAAGGTGTCACAAACGATGAAGTTTTCCAGAAGTCGTCACTTTCGATGACATTTTTTCTCATCCTACATGGCCGAAACGATTTATTTTGATAATTAGTTTATTTTATTTTATTTTACAAAATAATATTTTTTTCATTATTTTTTTTAGGTTAAAAAGCCCATATCATTAATGTTTTTGTTTACAGACACATGAGTTGAGTCATGTTGTACATGTTAATGAGGTATTTCATCATACCAATATACGAAAGTTTGAAAGTGAGTAACTTGAGTAGGCATTTCAAACTTCAATTTGTAATTCTTCTTCTCCTCCTCCTCCTCCTTTTTCTTCAAAAATAAAAAATAAAAACAAATGAAGATGTGAGAAGTGAGTAACTTGAAGAGGCATTTCAAACTTTAATTTTTGAATCAAATGATCTCGTAATAAAAGCTACTCAAGAGAAGTTGTTCACCTTTGGGCACAAGAAACATGAAGAGAACAAATAAAATAAGATTTTAAAGCTTTTAGGATGTATGTTAAATCCTTTTTTATAGGTCATGGTAGTTGTGGCTTTAGCCAAAGGGGGAGAAAAAAATTTTGATTGACAAAATTTAGTTGAATTTATTATACCTCTTATTGTCAATACAACAATGAACTTTGTAAAGGAAAATAATGTTGATAAAATTGTTGTAGTTCTTATGGTACAGGTCTTTCAGAAATGGATTGAAACAATTTCAAGGATTCTTATTTGAACTGGTAAAGTCAATGTTAAGTTTAGGGATATTAAGTTTGTTGATTCTCATTTACTTGAAGGTGACCCAATAAAAAAGTCTAAAGGATGAATAGAGATCAAAGTTTGAAGTGATAAAGAAAAATCTCAAAGGGGAGTATTGACAATTGAGATTTTTTCACAATCATAATTAAACATTTTAATAAAATCTTTGCAATTTTCTATTTTATTTGTAAGTTTAGTTAAAGATTTCTTATGTTAGAATAAACAAATTTTAATTACAGGAAAATGATGTTTGCTTATTAGCTTAATCATAAGTCTTCTCATAATTAACCTTAAAAACCAAGTATTTATGCCTCAATTTTTTCGCCTCTTCTATTATCTCATTTGCCACCAAAATATGCCACCAAAATATGCCACCAAAATACTATGAAGTACATACCTTTCACCCAAGAATGCACTTTTCCACAACACTTCTTGATCATAAAACTCATAAAGAAATCTCATTATGTCATCTTTTAAAATGCTCCAAAATGATTAAATAAACTTAAAGTTGAAACCATCCAAGCCACACATTTTAAGATACCACATTCCCATAACACTTCCCGATCACCTTCAATTCTTCAAATTTAGCTACAAGCATCATGTTATTTTCACATAAATCTTCTTAAACCACACTCCCTCCAACTTGGGTCTAAACATTTTTATTTCTCTAAATTTACCCTCAAAACAAATTTCCCACTTCCCATTTTACTCTACTAACATCTTCTACCCAAGCATTGTCAATATGCAACGCCTTTAATATTTTTTCCTTCTTTTCCAATTTACATAAGTATGAAAGTACTTTGAATTTTGATCACCTTCAAGCCCCTATTTAACTCGATCATTACATGTAGTCATCCCTCCGAAACTCTTGTAATTCATTTTTCCTTTTAACATCGTCATCATCAATATCCTTATAATTTTCTTTTCTTTTTCTTTTTTCTCCAATCCACTCATATCTTTTCTTTTTCTTTTTCTCCAATCCACTAATATTAGTCCCAATAATATACGTATATATATATATATATATATAATATTTATAGATAGAAAATACATGTTTAGTAGTAATATTATACATAATAACGTATTAGTAATATTTACCATTACGTGCGTAGTTACTTACTTTTACATATATATTACATTTTATTAAAAATATTTATAATACGTGCTTATTTACATAGTTACTTTTTCTACTTCTATT